TCCCGTCCTCTTTCACTCGCTTCCGGCCTAATCATATAAAAACCCTGTCTCTCGCTCAACGCCAACATTCCGAACGCCTCCCGCTCTGCTTCAACTCTGAGCTCCTTCGCTTATCGCAGCCGTCTTCGATCACCAACCAGCCAAACATATCTTTTACCTGCCTTGCCATCCGCCACACACGTACACACACACACACTCACACATCAGCGATCATGCAGTTCAACACCATCGTCTCCGCGGCCGTTGCCGTCTTCTCCCTCGGCGCCATTATCCAAGCCAGACCTCTGCCTTGCACAGATGTTCGTATCCCAACTACTCAGCTATCATCTACGTATGCATCTCTAACATCTTTCAACAGCTTAAGCGCGACCTCATCCTCAGCGGACAGGCCAGCCCCGAGATTTGCTGCACATACGGCATCTGCAAGGGCGACGTCAACATCATCAGCGGTTGAAAAATTGACCTCTTGCCCTGCGGAAAGAAAACAAACTTGAGAGCACTCGCCGGCGCTCGTCATGACGGAGGCGTCCGGTCGCACCAAAGCAAGCGAGCACACATTCATCAAAGAATCACTCGCGTGTGCAAATGCATACGTTGGCGTTCATCAATAGGGGGATACGAATATTCAAACGGTGTTTGGGGGGCGCAACAGGGCGTTACACAACTTGAGAACCTCACTCTTTTTTCCTGCTTTGTGTGAGAATTTGGTGTGTCAGGGTGGGATGGGAAAGAGGTCAGCCCCGATGCACAAGTCGGCATCTTCAGATCTCAACGGGAGAGTTTCTGGGGCGAATGGGATGCCTGGGTCGGAGTTCCGCTGCTGTCATCGTCAGCAGCGCCCGCCTCGTTGGCAGGTGTGGTTCGTCGTGCATAAGCCGCCACGGCGGCGCCGTTGAGGGGGGAGAAACGACTGACGAGGAGTTTCCAACGGTCACATAGCTCTGGACGACGAATTGAAGCTCATGATTGCACACAATTCCATCCTCAGTTGTGTTTGGTAGACTGAACTGTTGCCCATGTCGACCCGAAAAAAGGATCGTGAGAGGTCAGGCAAAGCCAAGACATTGTTGCTATCCAAGTTTTCCCTGAACCCTTCTGCGCTCACACTCACACGAGAGCTCGAAACAAGGCGAACAATGCCTGACCCAAAGATGCCCTCGTGGTGCTGAAGGGGCGGTCTCGCTCTGTGTGTCTCTCTCGGAGACAATTCATCCACCCCACGTGGTCATCCATTGGTCGCCGGCTCGTATTGCAGCCGCATGCGGCCATGCGCTGCCGTTCGTAAAAGATAAGCCGTTGCCCCAGAAGAGTGTCTACGGCTAAAATGAGCGCTATAATTCACGATGATAAGACGTGGTGGAAAAGTCACCTTTACGAGGTAGCGAGTTCAAAGAAACGCCATGAGCTAGCCTATAGCCGAGTAAGCGGTCATAGGAAAGTTGCATAGAAGAACACAAATACTCTCATTTAACAAAGCATAAAGTCAGCCCATTCCTTTCCAATTTTTGCCTCTAATATTCTCCTTGAGCGGAAATGCAATTCAAATTGGTTTCTGGTTCCTGTGCGCTTTTCTGCGCTCAGCGCGACTAAGTAACGACGCAGTTGAACGTTTCTCATAGAGCCTTTTCTTCATCAAACTCAAGAGTCTCAACCCAAATACATGCCTGTCGTCAAAGAAGCCCCGCTCGATCCTTCTGAACATGGTACCAGCCCTCAGGACTTCTGGTCACCACAGACAGCCGAGATACCACGCTATCAGGTGTACTCCAACCCACAATGTCGTCAGGGCTGTGAACAGGACTCCGAACACAGTGACCGCGATAATCAACCCGGACAGCGTGCCGTTGCGCTCATAGGCGAGAGAGACGCGGTAAAAGAAGTAAATGAAACAGCCTTGAACAAAAAGCGCGGAGAACATGGTGTACACCGCGTGCCAGTCGACCTTGCCATCACTTTTAATCCATAGCTTGCTGTTCGCCTTTTTCTTGACTAGCAAACGAGAAAATCAGTACTTCGCCTGTTAGGAAATAGAGAAGCTACCTACTAGCGAGCTCTTTGTGGTCGACATCAGCAGTTGCGCTACTGCTCAAGCTGGTCTCACGGTCGGCCATGATGGGTACGCGCGTTAGGCGTGGAATATCGAAGTGAGTGTGCGACGAAGGGCGATGGACTTTTGACAACGCATGTGGTTCAGTTCAGGAACCAACAATGGCCTCCATATAGAGGGTCATGAAGCGTAGACACGGAGAGGTGTCCGCGGCGTTGAAGGAATCGGTATGTGACGTTGTGTTGGTTGGAAGTTGACTCTATGTATTCGTGGCGGGGCGAGGCAAACAAACATAGCCAACGACCCCCGAACGCGCATTCGCGTTGGGGGCCGTGTGCGACTTCCGTCCCCAGCCAAGCATGATATGATAAACTTAGCACCAACAATGTAACATGGCCCGCGGCAAAGAACGAGAAGCATGCAGCTGTTGGTTGGTGCCAATCTCGGCCGAATGTCTTGCCCTTTCGGGAAAACGCGACAGCATATATCGCCAGCTGTTTCCAATGCCCAGTGCTGAATCCCTACTTTGCAGCAGCTGAGAATCGCCAGTTCCCGTTTTCCTATCACTCCGAGTGTCTGTCACTCAACAGCAGTGGGTTCCCGTCTGCACGCAATTCACCCAATATATGGGCCTGGACTTCTAAACAGGCAGGTCGGCAAGCGGGCATCGTGTCGGGTTGATGCAGAAATGTCTGTTTAGCCACGCCCAGCATTCTGCGATGAAGCAACATCACTGCACAGCCTTGCAGTCGTGCCGTGACGTTGCGGCTCGACTACCTATTTTGAGAGCTTCAACGACAGATGTAGGGTCAGCTTCAATAGTCAAGAGTGTGTTGGAAGAAGACCTTTGGTTCTAACGTCTTCAACTGGGCGATGTCTTCACGCTTCTCAAAGCATGATTTCCATACTGCCGCCCCCGACATATGCAAGATGTTGGGTCTGCCACTCTTGGCTGGGCAGCACTCACCTCCAGCGGACTCAAACATCATGGATCGACCAGAAAACGCTTTCTTCGGAGGAAAGGCTGCGAGATAGTTGAGAAACAAGTGTGTATATAACTTTGATTTGCTCACCTCGTTTCCCAGGTCAGCTCTCAGAACCAGTAGACCAACAACATCCGACCAGCACAATTCTTCAATATCAACGAACTCACCACACTCATCTTCAACACCATGTATTTTTTCCCTCAGAAGGACGGCAGCTACGATGGTCTTCCTGGAAGCCATTCCGCTCAAAGCCAGCGCAAGTCTAGAACGGGGCACCCCTTCATGATCTTACTCGTTCTCTGGAATGTAATCATCACCCTAGCCGTCGTTTCATGCATCTTTCCGATGAATTCCTCACTATCTGCGTCCTCTGGCCACGCCAACGAGCTTGTTTCCGCCCCAGTGCTCGTTACGGAGAACCCAGTGTTGCTTGACAACATGAACTCTTCAACTACGGAGCTCGTGGCACTCCCTCTCGAGTATCCCGTCACCAGTACGTGCACGATCTCGCCAGAACTTTCAACCCCCGTTGCTGATTCTGTCCCAGCTACAGCGCTTGAGGCGCGTCAAGAAAACCCCACCCACAAGTATCTCACCATCGGCCTCAGAGTTGCTCAAGCCACCTCACCTGCATTTGCAGGCTTCGGTCTGTGGGGCCTCATCACCGATTGTATAGACTTCTCCGAGGACCATAGCAAGCCCGCACCCGGCATCAAGTGCGTCATCGGAGCGATCGGTACCGCCCTCGGTGGAGGCCTGATCGCCCACTCATTCTACGAGCATGGAGACGCAGTGTGGGGAAAGATCAAAGACGTTGGTCTGATATGGCTTGGTAACGAGAACAACGTTAAACGCGACTTGAAGATGGTGGCCGCCGTGGAGGACGACCTCTCCAAAGCCATGCGATCCGAGGTGCGACGCATCGGCGACTGGAACGGCACCGTCTCGGGAGGTCTCTCCCAGAGAGACGGCCAGGCCCGGTCCTACCCGGTCTTCGGAGCCAGGGTCAGAGACGTGGACGTCCATTTCGCCTACTTGGGAGACCAGCACGGAGACAACTCTACTATGCTTCGTATGGGGTTCGGACCCGGCCCCGTCACCGAGGAAAACAACCGCCGCCTCGGCCGCCGGAACGTGAAATTCAACGCGCAGCACTTCAGCGAGGGGGGCTTGGACATCAAGGCGGAGAGGCCGAGCGGGGACAAGGGCGGCACCCTTGGGGACCCGACCAGGCAGGAAGACTTCGACTGGATCTACGAACAGGTCGAGTGCTATCTGACCAACCACGCCAACTTCGGACAGATGCCTATCGACAACCCCATGTGGGACCTCCTGAACACGTTGATGTCGGACGTTAAAGGGTTCAACTACCAGATACTGAACGACCTGGAAAGAAACACCATCACGGCTGGCGCGATCGCGCCTTTTGGCGCTGACGGCAAGAGTGCGATTGGTGAGATGGGAGCCATCTACGGCATTGTTCCCGACCCTACTTGCACTGACGAAATTCGATAAGGAACTCCAACTATCGCCTCTATGTTCCGGTTATCGTCAGCGTGCTGTCTCTTGATTCAATTTATTTGGTTTAGATATTGAGTTTAGTTTACAATCTTTCATATGCACACTACGTTGTGTTTATTCCCCTGGTGTGAAGGTGATTGAAAAATGTGGTTGTCGAATTTTGTATAGAATCATCGCAGCCGTCGTCGGTGCTTGGATGTGATGAAAACCCCACGCTGCCACCCATTCATCGCCCTCTCATACCGTAGCAGCATGAGGCCATGCACCGCCGTTCGTAAAAGATAGGCCGTCCAATGTTTCCTCCCCGCTTGGCCTCAATTGTCTAGTTGCCCCCTCATTCACCTCCTCATTCACATTTCAGCCGGGCAAAAGTTACAGAATCGCAAGGCGGCGGGAGGGAGGGCTGGGAGCGCATCATGTGGCTACCCGCCCGCAGAATCCTCTCATCACGAAGTCGTGCCCGCAAGAAAAGTATCGCTGTTGATGACGAACCCGTACGAGCCCTGATAACAACCTCTTAATGAGCGACTCATCATCCCGCGATAATCTTCCGTAATCGCAAAAAGGACTCAAAGCCAAAGGGAGGGGAGTGATGACTTACAGCGACGTTGTAAAGACACACCTCCGGCGCCCCAGGCGTCTTCGTCCCGCAGCAGTCCTCGACCATCACGCAGTCCCAGCCGCCGTTATACGCATCAGTAAGGGTCCCGAGCACGCACTGGTCTGTATTGACCCCGGCGAACAACAGCGTCCGCACCCCGGCCCCGTCGCCGTCCAGATACCTCCGGAGCGGCTGCTCCGGGCTCCACATGCCGGACATCCTGTTCTTGTCGCAGTGCACGTCCCCGGGACGGGCGAACCGCTTCAACGGCTCGTAGATGTCGGCGTTCCAGGTGCCCTTGACGAGACACTGCCCCTTGCCGTCGCCGAGATCTCCGCCGAGACCGAGACGTGCGACCTTGTCGTCGGCGGAGGCGCCGTGGATGAGCGTGCGGGAGAAGCCGCGCTGGACGCTGGCGGGCATCACGGCGAGATCATCGTCGGTCAAGCCCCAATTCAGCCAGATCACCTGCCGGTTCAAATCAATGAATGACTTGCTTGCAAACAACAAAAGGCCAAGCCAACGTTACACCCTGCTGCGTAAGCCGCTGCCGTCCAGCTTACCTTACCCTACCTTTCCTCTCCTATGCAGTGCGGGTGCAGCAGCAGCAGCAGCAGCGCTCCCACTCACTGCCGGGCACAAAGAAACCCCGGCGTCGAGTCCGACTGGCGGGGAAAATGGAGAAAAGAAAAAATGCGCGGCCACCGTACCTGGACGCCTAATTCGCGGCATTTCTCAATGACCTTCTCGGTCTTGTCGACGGCGGCCAGCCCGGCGGGATGGTCGCGACAATCTGGGTGCAGAAAGTAATTCTGCATGTCAACAATCACGAGCGCCGTGCTGTGGGGGTTCACGGATATGAAGGTCTCCGTGGGGCCCTGGGAGGTGCCGACCGTGCAAGCCGGAGACCGGCCCCGGGTGAGATCATAGGTTCGCGACGATGTCTCGTAGCGCCATTCGTCGCCCGGCGGGCCAAAGACCAAGTCTGGGCGGCGCATGACGAACGAGGCGAGAGAGTACAAAAGGTCCGAGTTTTCTCCTCGGATATTCTAGCCCCGACTGCGCTGCGCTGCGGGCGGGTATAGTCTAGGTCTTTCCCCGATTGCGGGTAACACGATGCGGTCAAGGTGAGAGGAAGTTGGGTCAATCGTGGGCCTCACGTCAGGTGAAGGTAGAAAGACGACGGCTATCATTCATGCGACGCCTGAGAGTCGGTAGATAACCAACCGCACAGCGGTCTTATCGGGTGTAAGTCTAAACGTCAAGGCCGCTGTCAATCTTTTCTCTCTCTGTGACTTGGAGCGCCCTATCTGGCAGGCCGCAGAGACCGGAGCGGCTATCGCCCGATCCCGGCATGTCAATGTAACAGACGGGGTATCATAATTCGAACGCATGCTGCAGCAAAATTTGGGGGTTAAAAAACATCAAACCAAAAGCCAAAGCACTTAAACTCCAGCTGCGTGTGCTGGCGGTTGAGACGACCACAGGCGCATCCATGCAAGCGATATCAATCAGGTAGGTGACCGACCGAGGTAGGTACGCTGTCGCATTCGATGCACCCAGACTCCAGTGTTGAGGACGAACGGAAAACAAGTCGTGGCCGACGCCCACGAGTTCGGTTTGTTTGGTTCACACTAGGCACGGCGGATCTGGTGGTAGGAGGGGCGGCCAGTAAGTGTCGGGGGGACCAAGGGATCTCGCGTCGGGCACCGTCGCGATTCGTGGAGCGAGATGCGCTTCCCCCTCCCTCAACAAGAAGCGACGATGTTACGGGATAAAGGCAGGGAAAAAAGCAGAAGGCCCAACGACGTCCCTGGCTCTCCCACCACGTGAACGCACTCAGAAAAATCTCCGCGGGACGAGTGAGCAGTTCAATGCGGCCAATGCCCCTCCCGGCGCGCCTGGACCTGCAAAGCGAAAGGGTTGGCGCTCCTAGAGACTCGCGGGAGAGCAAAGGAAACAATCGGACTGGGCAACGCTGGGCGACTATCGTCAAAGGTGTCGCGGGGGGATGGTCGTCGTCGGGTGAGGATCGGCGTCGTGATTGGAGCGGGAAGTCGCAAAGAGAAAAAATCGGTCTTACAGCGACCGAACAATTCCCACACAGCAGCGGCGCCCCACCCCCTGCCAACAAGCTTCGACCCTGCGTGACGTTGCGACGTGGGGAACTGGGGTTGACTATTCGCCTCGACCCCTCGAGAAAGGAGGGGCTGTTAAAACATCGAGGGGCGCGGGAGAAGCTCCTCGTCAGTAGACCTTACCGCAGTACACTTGTCAACAAGCTATATATCCAGCCGAGTCCAGACACTGTAGACCAGACCCCGTCCGGCTCGATTGACCCTTTGCTTCGCTTCGTCCATTCTGTCCTGTCTTGTCCTGTCCCTCCCTCGCCTTCACACACTGCTCTCGTAGCTGCCAGCCTCTTCGTCTCGTCGCCGCTGAACCATTTGCAGCCCTACCAGAGCACACACAAACACACGCACACAGCTTCCATAATGTCTCCCTCAGCTGTTGATCCTCCCGCGTCCGTTGGCACCGTCAAGCCGTCCAAGGCTAACATCGGTGTCTTCACCAACCCCGCACACGATCTCTGGATCACCGAGGCCGAGCCCAAGTTGGAGGCTGTCCAGGCCGGAGAGGGACTGCAGAATGGCGAAGTCACCATTGCCATCCGAAGCACCGGAATTTGCGGGTAAGTCACCAGCTGGAAAACCAGAGAGACCTTGAACAGGACTGACTAGACGCATAGGTCCGACGTTCATTTCTGGAAGCACGGATGCATCGGACCCATGATCGTCGACGGCGACCACATCCTCGGCCACGAGTCCGCCGGTGAAATTATTGCCGTCCACCCCAGCGTCACCCACCTCAAGCCTGGCGACCGAGTTGCCGTCGAGCCGAACGTCATCTGCAACGAATGCGAGCCGTGCCTCACTGGTCGCTACAACGGTTGCGAGAAGGTGCAGTTCCTGTCCACCCCGCCGGTCCCGGGCCTTTTGCGGCGATATGTCAACCACCCGGCCGTGTGGTGCCACAAGATCGGTAATATGACATACGAGAACGGTGCGATGTTGGAGCCGCTGAGTGTGGCGCTGGCTGGTATGCAGCGTGCCGGTGTGCGTCTCGGTGACCCGGTGCTCGTCTGCGGTGCGGGACCCATCGGCCTCATCACCCTCCTCTGCGCCAAGGCTGCTGGTGCCTGCCCACTGGTTGTCACCGACATCGACGACGGCCGTCTGGCTTTCGCCAAGGAGCTGGTGCCGACGGCCATTACCCACAAGGTCGGCCGCGGCACTGCCGAGGAGGAGGCGAAGCGCATTGTCGAGTCCTTCGGCGGCATTGAGCCTGCTGTGGCTATGGAGTGCACCGGCGTCGAGAGCAGTATCGCTTCGGCCGTGTGGGCGTGCAAGTTCGGTGGCAAGGTCTTCATCATTGGTGTCGGACGCAACGAGATCAGCTTCCCCTTTATGCGTGCCAGCGTGCGCGAGGTGGACATTCAGCTGCAGTACCGCTACTGCAACACCTGGCCCAGGGCGATTCGTCTGGTGGAGAGCGGCGTTATTGACCTCAGCAAGCTGGTCACGCACAAGTTCAAGCTGGAGAACGCGCTCGATGCGTTCGAGACGGCCAGGGACCCCAAGACGGGCGCCATCAAGGTCATGATCCAGAGCTTGGAGGATTAAGCTGCGGGTATTGAGTGGTTGGTGTTTTGGGCATAATACGGCGGTGTTGGCGATTTGGTGTCATGGATGGTCATTTGATATATTTATAGAGACAATTTTCCAATGATTCGTAATCTGGCTGTGTAGTGTGGTGTCTGCCGTTGTGCGAATGTTTTGCCCATAACTGTTTAGGATGGGTAATGGCGGTGGTGGTGCTTGCGTAGCATTGGCGTGGACGACGTTTGATGAAGCTTGAAGCCCAAAATGACGCGAAGCCAGCAGGAGTGAGCTGTGGAATAAAATCACGAGAAAACCAACTTTTGGCAAGCGCATCATGATAGAACCCCGTTCTTGCCCATTGCCCTGCGTGTCCTTCAAGGGTAACTCCCTTTGGTGCGCAACTTCCGCCCAAGGAGGACCCCCACATACGGGCTAGTCTCGCAATCTCATTGGCTATGTGCCCTTAAAGCGGCATAGCCCGTTGTACCGGCCGGCGCGCCTGTTCCTGCCCTTGGGTGCGAGGCAAGGTACATGGAAGGAGTGGCGCACTGGGAGCTCAGTGTGGTAATTGAACCTTTTTGTTTTTTTTTCTTGTCTTTTCAGGGTTGGTGCAATTGGACTGCCACAACTTGGGCAGCAGCACAGCACCAACGACACAGCAGCGAGACCAGCAACAGCAACAGCAAACAGCGACAGCACCTCAGTGAGTAGTAGGACGCACGGGCCACCTGTCCGGCTCGCAACAACAGCACAAGCGAAATCTTCCGAGAGGTCGGAGGCAGAGACTGACAGTTTGTGAGGGAAAGAGCTCTTTTTTTCCTCACGCAAAAATACCCATCACCACCATCTCCCCTCCTCCATCAATTGGCCGCCAACGAAGCTCCCCCCTCACCCCCGGAGCCGTTCAATTCGATCCATCCCCGACCGACTTCAGATCCACCGGTTTTGTTCCTCCAGATTTTCGATTCCTTCCCCCGGCCAAAATGTCTTCCGCCCTCGCTCGTCCGTTGATGCGGACCACCGCCCGCACTCTCCCTTCCCGCGCTGCCGTCCGCTTCGAGTCAACCGCCTCCAAGAAGGCCACCGATGCCACCAAGGATGCTGCCGCGAAGGCCAGCGAGTACTCCGCCAAGGCTGCCCAGGGCCTGAGCCGCGCCGCCAGCGCTGCTGGTCCCGCCATCTCTGGTGCCGTTAATGCCCTCGGCAAGGTCGGCGGCCGTACCGGCAAGGTTATCGGCTTCATCGAGAGTACGTGACATCTGGGATGTGAACAGGAGTACGCCCTGAGGAAGCCTCGCCATGCGTATTCCGAGTATTGTGACAGGATCAAGTGCTGACCCAATTGCGCTTATAGAGCAGGTCCCCTGGGTCGTCTACTACTCCCGCGTCGGTCTCGAGCTCTCCAAGATTGTCTTCCACGGCCAGAAGATGGCTCCTCCGTAAGCTCCCGTGACTACGCGACATCTAAGCTTTCCACCATCTGACCGTCGTCCGCAGCCCCGTCTCCACCTTCCAGACCTACTTCCAGACTGCCGTGAACTCCCTCAAGAACCCCAGCGGCCTCCTCAGCTCCGCCTCCGCGACCGCCAGCTCCGCCGCCTCGGCCGCTGCCGCTGCTAAGCCCGCCAACCTGGCCTCGCGCATCAACACAGCTACCGTCGCCACCGGTGCCGTCGTCGCCGCCGAGTGCCTCGGTTTCTTCACCGTCGGCGAGATGATTGGCCGCTTCAAGATCGTCGGCTACCACGGCGAGACCCACGCTGCCCACCACTAGACGAAGCAACCGTCGGAACTCGCCCATTCTCGAAAACGAACCTGTGTAAAAGAAAGGGATGGAGGAGATGTGTTTCTAATTAATTCACCAGCATCTAAAGAAGGAGCGGAAATTGGTGGTATCGGGATATAGACACCGGGGTTAGGGGGTGTTATGGAACCAAATACGCATGAATGCTCAATGACCTGTGTAGGAGGTTCATGTAACCTAGAAAGCCGCGCCCCCTAGGTAACTAGGGAGCGGACATGTCTGGGAGCGCGAGACGAGGAATTACGCTTCGTTGGGACCTTGGATCTGGTTCCTTTGAGCGTCCTCAACAGGCACCTTTTTATTTTCCTTATGTAGAATCTGTACATCACGTCAACGCAGCCACCCAAGCTGCGAAACCCGCCTCCTGTGGGTAAATACCAGGAAACCCTTCAGCAACTCGCGTTTGAAAGTAAACCCCCCTGAATTTTGCAATATCGAATCGGAAATTGTTGCTGAGGCATCAGATGAGCGAGCGAAGAAGACAGTCATGGTCTCTCTAAATAGTTTGCGGCTACTGCTATGACATTCCCAT